GGCAGGAGGAGCGGTGTTTTGCGGCCGATGCGGTGCTGTCGTATTCATCGCAGGGGTGCCTGTCCTCGTCGCCACCTGTCCAGGATGCCCGCGGGGCTGATCGGCTGAAGCGAGGCGACCGGCCGAGGAAGGGCGAACACTTCGGCGCAACGCGGCCGTTCCCGCGCGCCGACCGCGCGCCGACGAACGCAACGGCCGTAAACGCAGCATTTCGCCAGCGTGAATTCTGATGTTTGTTCGCTGTGCTTGTTTCTCCCTCCCTCCCTCTGCCTCTCCCTCTCGCGAGCCGAGGTATCATACTCGCCGGCCATTGGGAAGTGGTCGGCCTTCCTCTCTGTGTGGCGCTGCTCGCGGAAGGCGAAGGCCTTTCCGTGTCTTCGGGACTTCGGTTCGTTGACGAGTTAATTGTGTGACCGCACTCGCGACTGGGGGCGTGGACCCTTTTTTCGGCGCGGGCGCGGTGGTAACCGCACTTCGTTTGCGGGCCCACGTTGTCATCGTGTCCGCCCTCTTTGCGGTGCAAAGCTTGTTTGGGGAGGTTGGGTCGTAGGAAAAACACGGCTGGGCCCGAGTTCCCCCCCCGTCCCTTTATAAACGCTACGCACGAACATCGTCACCATCCTCACCATCATGACCATCAGCACCACCGTCATCAACGCCAGACTTAGTCATTTCCATCATCACCAGCACCTCGTGATCCGCACCCATCGTCACTTTGAGGCTCGGCCTTCATCAACGGGAGGTCTCGAACAGGAGTTTCGTGTGTGAGTGGACGGCGAAGAAGTCTCGAGCCGGAAGCCCACCCACTGGGATCTTCATTTCCATGTTCGAGTCTTGCTTTTTAATCGAATTTTGCAACGGTCGTCAGTTCGAGGAATTTGTGTGTGCGGGTGAATCGCAAAGAAGTCTCGGGCGGGACCCCCCCTTACGGGGTCCCAGTTTGCATGTCCGTATCCGAGCAAGTCATCCGAACTTGGTGAGGGTCCTTTCGGGCTCCTTAGGCCAGAACTTGGAAGAAGTCTACAGTGTGAGCTTCGTCTGTGAGTGAATCATGAGGAAAGTCTCGAGCGGGAACTTCCTTCGTATGGGTTCCCCGCTTCCATGTTCGAATCCGGGCAGGTAATCCGAACTGTGTAATTGTCGTCACGTTTGTGCCCGCCAGGCCTGAATCTGGAAGAAATGTCGAGCAGGAACGTTTTTATGTGAGTGTGCCGCGCGTGAGTCTTGAGCGGAAGCCCCGTCTTTATGGGTTGCCCGCCTCTATGTTCGGCCCCGAGCGGGTCATCCGAGTCCCGGAACTGTCATCACCGTTGGGCTCTTCACGAATGACGTCTCTAGCAGAAATTTCGTTGGTGAGCGAATCGCGAGGAAAGTCTCGAACGGGAACCCCTTTCGTATCAGATCCCTGCTTCCACGTTCGAATTCTGGCGGGCCATCCGAATCCTGTGATGGCCGTTATTTTTCTGCCCTTCAGGGCGTCTCAAACGGGAGCTTCGTCTGAGCGTGAATCGAGAGGACGTCTCGAGCGGGAACCACTTTCCTATGGGGGGGGCATTTTCATGCTAAGATCCGAGCAGGTCATCCGGATCCTGTACCTGTCGTTCTGCTTGGGCTTTTCATGCCTGAATTTGGCGGAAGTCTCGAGCGTGAGTTTCGTTTGCGAGTGAATCGCGAAGAATTCTTGAGCGGGAGGTGCCTCCCCATGGGGTCCCCGCTTCCATGTTCGAACCTGTGCGGGTCATCCGAATCTTGCGACAGTTGTTTCTTGGGGGCTCTTCAGGCCTGAATATGGAGGAAGTCTCGAGCGGGAGACTCGTCTGAGAGTGAATCCCGAGGACGCCTCGAGCGGGAGCCTTCTCGCTATGGGGTTCCCGCCTCCATGATCGACCCCAAGCGGGTCATGCAATTGCTGTAACCGTCGTCACCCTTGGGCTCCCATGGAGCGGGAGGAGGAGGAGGAGGAGGAGGAGAATGGACGAGGAGGAGGAGGAGGAGTAGGACCAGTGTAAACCGAAGAGTCATCAGCGATGCTGGAATCAACCCTCCCTCCAAGCTCCCTCTTCATAAGCCCCTACAAGCGTTCATTTCCATTGAGGGAACTGACTTGTTGGGAGACACCCTTGAAGACCCCGAAGCATGGCATAACACTGTTCTCGGGATTTGAACGCCACGGATCAACCAGACTGCTGCGTCTTGACGATCTGGAGTCGTGCCAGAACGCCGTTCTTGGGACTTCAGCCCCGCGAATCAACATAACTGCTGCACCCGCATGATCCTGAATCCTTCCAAACAATGTTTCTGGAACGCTCATCATGGGAATCCTTGAGATTCTTTTAATGTTTTAAACGAAAGTGCGCGTCGCTAAGGAGAGAGCCACATGTTTAAAAGGAACCGCCCTGAATCCGCGACGCTCTTGCACATGTTGGGAGCAGGAGGAGCAGGAGCAGCAGGAGGAGGAGGAGGGACGCCTCCGCCAGACGGCGCGCCAGAGAAGAGGGCGAGGAGGCGACGGGAAGAGTGCCTCTCCGCAGCGTCAAGGACGACGACGTCGACGACGACGACGACGACGAGCAGGAGACAGGAGGACGAGGAGGGCCAGGATGGGGATCGGGAGGAATGAGCAGAGGCGGCGGCACACCCTGGCCCTGGCCACCGGTCCAGAGCATGTTATCGGCACTCAAGCAGCTCGCGGTGTAAAGACATGATTACAGTCAAAAGCCCTAATGAGGACGCGCGACTTTGCTCGGGGTACTCCAGATTTCGTAATAAAGGGAGGGGGGTCTCATTTCGGGGGGGGTCTCTTCCAGGCTATCTTGGAGGGCCTGGGGTGGTCTGGGGACGATGTTTTGGAGGGTTCTCCCACGGGGGGAGGTCTGAAATGGCTTGTCTTGGAGGGTCCAGACCCCCTCCCTTTTATTACGAAATCTGGGGTACCCTTGAATCCCTGCTCTTCCTTGCTCTTGCGTCCTTGAGGTTGTCGTCGTCCGCCGCCTCAAAAAATCCAGCTTCGGCTTCCAAGGGTCTTGCGTCCTTGCCGCGCGTCCTTATTAGGGTTTTTGATTGTAATGCTGCAACCAGCAGTTGCAGCGCTGCACCTGGAGAGGTATAGCCGGTCCAAGGAAAGACCCGAGATGAGCAGGTCATACTGAAAACCACCACCATGCTCAGAGCGTCACTTGCAGCGGTGACCCTCCTCCCTCACTTCCTTACTTCCTTACCTCGACAATGCACCTCCTCCGCCACCTGCCCTTCTGGTCTGCCCTCCTCGCTTTCTCCATCATGCGTTTCCCACACTCCTCCTCGGAGAGTGCCCAACTCACACAACGCCTCTTCGCCTGCTTCGCTGCTCTCTTCGGTGCAGGATGGTCTACATGACCTTGACCAGCTGCTGCCTCGATTCCGGCAGCGGCCCTTCACCGTTCCTTCGACCATGCGCACATAGAAACGTATGTTGGCGAACTGACGCCATGAAGTCTCCCCTCTCGGCGAACTCGCACAATTCGCTGTACTTGAGGTCGGCTGTCGTAGATGTCCACCCTGTCTTCCCGTCCGACGGCGAGTCGGTGCAACGGCTCTCGTCCTCCAGTGCGCGAAAGCACCGCGCTCCCACGTGTCGTGCTCTAGGCTGACAATCGCGCCTGGGCCCCTGACGCACATCGGCATCGGCCAGCACATCTCTTTGCCTTGAAACGTCTAGCATCTGACCATGTGTCCTCAGCAAGCACTGAGATCACGTCGGCCATCTGTCGCACTCCTTGGTTGATGGCCTCAGATACCAACTTCCCCGCTCTGTGGCAGTAAGAGCTACTTGTCGGTGTCTCTTTGCAACCTCCAGAATTCTGTAACCAGCAGTTGCAGCGCTACACCTGGAGAGGTATAGCTGGTCCAAGAAAAGAGCCGAAATGAGCTGGTCATGCTGTTCAAACCATTCCCATGTTGAGAGCGTCACCAGCAGCGGTAACCCTCCTCCCTTGTTTCATTACTTCCTCATCTCGACATTGCACTTCCACCGCCATTTCCCTTCCCTCCTGGTCTGCCCTCCTCGCTTTCTCCGCAGTGCGCCTCCCACACTCCTCCTCCTCCTCCTCCTCCTCCTCCTCCTCCTCCTCCTCTGCTTCGCTGCTCTCTTCGGTGCAGGATGGTCTACATGACCTTGACCAGCTGGTGCCTCGGTACCGGCAGCGGCCCTTCACCGTTCCTTCGACGATGCGCCACGTATGCTGGCGAATTGATGCCATGAAGTCTCCCCTCTTGGCGAACTCGTGCAATTCGCTGTACTTGAGGTCGGCTGTCGTAGATGTCCACCCTGTCTTCTCGTCCGACGGCGAGTCGGTGTAGCGGCTCTCGTCCTCCAGTGCGCGAAAGCATCGCAATCCCACGTGTCGTGCTCTAGGCTGACAATCGCGCCTGGGCCCCTGACGCACATCGGCACTGGCCCAGCAGATCTCTTTGCCTTGAAACGTCTAGCATCTGACCATGAGTCCTCAGTAAGCACTGAGATCACTTCGGACATCTGTCGCACTCATTGGTTGATGGCCTCAGATACCAACTTCCCCGCTTTGTGGCAGTACGAGCTACTTGTCGGTGTCTCTTCTGCAACCTCCAGAATGTTGTAACCAGCAGTTGCAGCGCTACACCTGGAGAGGTATAGCAGGTCCAAGAAAAGAACCGAGATGAACAGTTCATGCTGTTGAAACCATTCCCATGTTGAGAGCGTCAGCTGCAGCGGCAACCCTTCTCCCTCTTTTCATTACTTCCTCACTTCGACAATGCGCTTCCACCGCCAGTTCCCTTCCTGGTCTGCCCTCCTCGCTTTCTACACAATGCGCCTTCCACACTCCTCCTCCTCCTCTGCTTCGCTGCTCTCTTCGGTGCAGGATGGCCTGCATGACCTTGATCAGCTGGTGCCTCGTTTCTCGGCAGCGGCCCTTCACCGTTCCTTCGACGATGCGCACATAGAACCGTATGCTGGCGAACTGACGCCATGAAGTCTCCCTTCCATGGCGAACTCCTACAATTCGCTGTACTTGAGGTCGGCTGTCGTAGATGTCCACCCTGTCTTCTCGTCAGACGGCGAGTCGGTGTAGCGGCTCTCGTCCTCCAGTGCGCGAAAGCACCGCGCTCCCACGTGTCGTGCTCTAGGCTGACAATCGCGCCTGGGCCCCTGACGCACTTCGGCACTGGCCCAGCGCACCTCAGCAGCTCACGATGGGCTGGTTTGGCAGTTGCTCGCGTGGGGTCCTGCCGTCGACGCGGTCGAAAGACGGTCAGGGGAGCGGCCCTGCCGCCTCCAGGGCGCCGACTCGGTCTGGGATGCCGCCTATACAGCGCCGGGGAGGAGGAGGAGGAGGAGGAGGATGAATTGGAGAAGGAGGAGGAGGAGGAGGAGGAGGAGGAGGAGGAATTGGAGGAGGAGGAGGAGGAGGAGGAGGGAGGAGAAGGAGGAGGAGGAGGAGGAGGAGGAGGAAAAAGAGCAGGAGGGGGAGGAGGGAGGACCCCCTTCCCCCTCCAACTTCTGGTGGTGCAGTGGTGGCCCCTCCTGTCCGGCGCCGGCGCGCCGAGGTACGGAGGGGTCGCCAGCGGGTGGATCTCGCTGCAGTCCTCCGACGGCGGGCTCGTCTGGGTCGAGCGGGTGGGCGACGAGGAGCCCCTCGGCGCGCGTCGCCGCCGCGCGTCCCCCTCGGGTGGGGCGACAGGGGCTCGCGCCGCGAGCGTGTCGAAGGGCAGGGGATGGAGGCTCGACGTGTTGATCGTCGAGAGCAATATATATATATATATATGTATACATATATATATATATATATGTATATCTATGTATATATATATATGTATATATAATATGTATATATGTGCCTCCTGGATGGGGTCCGAGTGGGTGGGGTCGGAGGATCGCGCCGAATCGCCGGTGCATCGGCGACGCGGCTCGATGCGGAGCCCGATTTTCGCCATGCCGATGGCGCCGATGCATCGTCGACGTCGGCGATGCATCGCCGGTGCATCGCCGATACATCGCCGATGCATCGCCGATGCATTGGCGATGCGGCGCGATCTTCCGACCCCATGTGCTCGGACCCCATCTAGGAGGCCTTTAACATAATCCCTCCGCACAAGGGGAGCGTACATCTCGGCGGCTTGGTCTGATACTTGTGCAGAAACTTCGCATCGCTCGGGCGTGTGCATTTTTTCCTCGGTGGGGACCATCGAGGAGCATCCTTGATCACTTGGCGAGAAAACCACGCACGAAACCGACAAAAGCACAGGGAATGGACCTCCGGGCGATGGCCAGGAAAGACCCCTCTGCCCCTCGTGTGCCTGGGCCTCTGAACTTCAGGCCCCTCCCGAAGGGTCAGGGGTCCTCTCTCTTGGTGAACCAGTTCAGGGGGGCGTAAGACCCGGGTACAGGGGACTCGGAAATCCAGGACGAGGTTGTCAAAAAAATGACGAGGCCGAGCCTGCATTTTGACGAGGCCTCCCGTGCAGACATCCCACGAAACTCCTCCTCATCAAAATCCGAGGCGCTGTCGTCAAAAAACGATGGCGAACCCGAGTCCTGGCAAACCCGGGTCTTACGCTCCCCCGACCAGTGTTCGGGCGGCTTCGTCGCTTCCTCGGCGGTCGGGAAGGCTCGGGTCGGACGGAGGGGTGACCTCAGAGCGCCGAATCATCAGGGGTAAGTCGGGTCAGGGCCAACTCGGGTTCGTCGTTCGGGATTCCGAGCCCGAGTTACCCCGGGCCCGAGTTACCCCAGATAACTCGGGCGTCCAGAGCCCCAAATCATCAGGGGTAACTCGGGTAAGGGCTAACTCGGGTGCGTTTTTCGGGAATCCAAGCCCGCGTTACCCCGGACCCGAGTTACCCCGGATAACTCGGGCGCCCAATGACCCCGGGGGATTGCGGCCAGCTTCCCGTTGGATTTGGGCAGTCCTCGGGGATGGGGTAACCTTTTTTAGCCTGAACCACCAGAGAGAATTTCGAGCACCAAGAAGGTACCGAAACTCGAGGGTTTTCACGTGTCGGGCCCTGGGAGACACCCGTTCGACATTGTTTCGGCACTGTTTCGACGCCTTTCTGGATGCTCGAGATGATTTCTGGATTGTGGTCCCTACGCACGATGGGAGCAACACGAGGATGGGGTCCGATCGCGGTTTTCGGGCGGCTTCGCCCGTTCTCGGCGGTGTTCCCCAGCCTTGACCCCTAGAGGGTCCCCGGGGAGAGGCCCCCGAGGGCGTCCCGCACGGCGGCCGGAGGCTCGTTTTTTTTTTTTTTTTTTTTTTTTTTTTTTTTTTGTTTGTGTGTGCTGTGTATATATACATGATATTGTTTTATTTTTCTCTGGCGAGGCCGCGCTGGAAGACGAGGACAACACGCAGGTCGGTTGAAACGGGGGGGGGTACAGACAACCCGCGTGGTGTCGAAGGAGAAAGCACACCAAAGAAAAACCTCAGTCAGTGGATGGGTTGATGAATCATGGGATCGATGAAGAGATTTGGTAAGGAGATCGACCGGGAACCCAGGAACCCGGAACCCGCCAAAATCGACTCACCCAGGAAGCCATGAAACAAGAATCCGCATGTGGAGGGTTCTCCGAAGGGCTTAGGCGACCCGTCCTCCCTCCTCCTCCTCCTCCTCCTCCTCCTCCTCCTCCTCCTCCTCCTCCTCCTCTTCCTGCTCCTCCTCTTCCTCCTCCACCGTAGCCATTTTGGCTCAAGTCATTTTGGCTCACGTGCTGGGGCGCTTGGGTGGGCAACCTGTCTTGAACGGGCCATCTTGGGGTCGTTCCCAACTGGACACGCATTTTCTCTCTGCCATTGCGCGCGCTGCTCTTTCGTCCGTGAACTTCAGGCCATCGGCGGAGTCCTCTCTCTCCAGGTCGCTCCTCTACGTGCTGATCTACAGTCCATGGTCTTCAAGATCCTCGAGATGGACGAAAAGTTTGACCCCCAGATCGCTGAGCTTGGTCTGGAGCAGCTGTTAATGAAGGCTTCGGTGGTGGTGGCGCGCCTGTTGTGTTGGAACTCCGTCAAAGCGAATCCGCCCGATGAAGGCAACATTTCGCAAGAGCTGGCCTCCATCCCGTCCCAGCTGGTCACCGCCGCCCGGTTTGACGCCAAGCTGATCACCATGGCGAGCACCCTCGTGAAGGCGGTCGCCTTCAGTGCAGCGTCCGCATCCCCCGCTGTCTGCGCAGATAGTGTGGAGGTCGTTGGCCCAGATTCCTGGAGCCGCATCCTGGGCCCCAGAGTGTGCAAGAGACCCAGGCATGCTTCGACTGGGCCATCGTGTACGGCATATCCTGTCTCACCCGCACATGCTGGACCTGTGCATCGTAGCCGCTTTTCTCTTCGAGACGGGGGTGAAGCTGGTGGCCGCTGCGAGATCTGGATTCGGGGATTCACCAGGAAGTAGCTGAGCCTCGTTTTCGTAACCGCTGTTAGCTGCTCAAGGCAGTTGCAGGTGCTTTGCTCGATGGTGCCGCCTCCCAGTGCCTCTACAAGTACTGTTACACTATACGCTTTCAGTCTGTGGAAGCTGCCAGGGCGTTCTTCAGCTGGGGCAACGATGCAGCAGGGTCGGCTGTCCATCTCGTGTGGAGGGATCCTAAGAATGGTCAAGCCATACCACTTCGAATTGGAGATGATCAACCTCGTCACGTTTGGTATGACATATTCGCTTTTGGCAGGTGCTGGGAGATGACGCGTGCCACTTTCGAGAAGCATGGCAAGTGGGAGGAGTCTTTTCGGCTTGGCGCCAACCCACACACTGGCACACTTCACCTGGCCTGCTCTGATGGTGAGGGGATCTACGTTTTGGTCAGGGCGTCACCTGTTACTGCCACACAGGTGGGAAGGACGCCTTCACGTTCATGGTGATGCCAGATGCCAAGACGTTCGAGATTCCCGAGCCCTTGCCGAACGCATCCCCTGAGCTTGCCCTGGGCAAGCTCGACAAGATACCTGCCTGACGGTCCAGATCAGCGGAGCTGAGTATGCCGGAAGGGTGTGGGCATCTCGTGCATGATGGACCTCCTCCTGGACTTGGCTGCGTCACTGCCGACAAAAGGAAGCGGGGCGATTCCTCATCTACCAGTGGGTCGGGTTCCTCCTCGACCAATTCTAGCTCTACTTCTGAGTCGCCTGAAAATATTGAGGCTGTTGGGTCCGCGCCTCGCATTCAGTATGGCGTGAGGAAGTGCAGTCCCTCCACGTTTCTTTTCCTTGCTGCCCTGCCACCCCGCCCTGTCTTACACCAGTGCTGGCCCATCGCGGGTATATTTTGTTGATGCGTATTGGAATTGTGCTGCTCTTTTGAGAAGTCAATGGGGTTGTCATATCCGTCCGTATAAGAAACGTTCGTGGCTAGCTCGTCTCTATGCACAGTCTATGTTCGGCATCTCACAGGAAACACACGGGGCCAAAAGCAGCCTCACAGCTTCAGATCGAGACGATCCTAGTATTGCAGTGTCTTGCCTTTTCTCCGATCCGCTTGCAATGCTTAGCTGGCGTCGTGAGGGTTCCGTCAGGGTACGGTTGAATGTAAATATGGCTTTGTCTTTTTTGGAGGTAGACCATGTTTAAACATATACGACCTTAAACACTCTGCGAGCTGTGGCGGGACCCGGGTCCGAGGGGCTCAGGGTCTCCTGACTGCCCGTTATCGTGTTTTCGCGAGGCGCAACCGCAAAGTGCGTGTGCTGTTCACGAGGTGCCTGGCTGAAGCTTGATTAAATACATGCTCGGACGCATGGACTCTTACCGTCGTCTCGTCCCTTTCTTGACCGCCTGCCCTCTTCTCGTCCCTTTCATCGGAGGGTCGTTATCCACTTCCTCCTCCGTCTCCTCCTCCTTCTCCTCCTCCTCCCTTCTCCTCCTCCTCCTCCCTCTTCCTCCTCCTCCTCCTCCTCCTCCTCCTCCTCGTCCTCCTCCTCGTCCTCCTCTTCCTCCTCCTCCTCCTCCTCCTCCTCCTCCTCCTCCTCCTCCTCCCTATCCCCCTCCTCCACCTCCTCCCCCTCCTCCACCTCCTCCCCTCCTCCTTTCCCTCGGGTCGCGAACGGCCCCGGGGGAAACCGTTCAGTTGGGGGCTACAGGCAACCCGCATGGTGTCGAAGGAGGAAAAACGCCATGAACATAAACTATTGGCGCCCTGTGCGGACGTCGTGGATTTGCGCTGGGCGCCCAGCGTGCCAGGGGCGGCGCCGGGGGGGGGCCCAGCGCGAATCCCAAGAACCCGCGCGGGGCGCCAAAAGTTATGTTGCTACAGTTTTGTAAGTGCGGTTTTTATTTACAACATATTTTATGGTAAGGATGGACAGCCTTCCCAAGGTTAGCTTTGCATCATTGCCCCTTCGGCCCATCATCAGTGACTTTCGCTGGTCAGCCTCGCTCGAAGAAGAGCGTTCGCCTGGGCCTCCCAGGCCCTTGCAGGCTAACTGCCCATCTTTCTGAGACTGTTTGACTGTATGGGGAAAAGGGCCGGGCACGGCGTCGGCTGCATGCAGCTGGTTTCGACCCTGCCTCCCAGCACATTCCTCGAGACACTGCCGCCCCAAGCCACGCGACTCCCTCCTCGGCCACCCTTCCTTTCGTCCGAGACCATCCTCGTTCTCGCCGCCCGCGCCGCCACCGTTGTGGCCGGGCCCATTCCGATCCGATCGATCCGATTCGACGTCGATTTCGGCGGATCCGATCCGATTGCATCCGATGTGGCCCAGTGCTTTCACGGACTCGGCTCCGACTCCGTCCGATGCGGCCCGATCCGAAGCACCTTTTCTCGATTCGATTCGACTGCCCAGTTTCATGTGTTTCATGTAGACTGATCCTGCCGCCGTCGTCGCCGTCGCAGTTTTCCGCCGTTGTTCGCCGACGTTGTCGCCGCAATTCGCCGCCCACGTCGCCCACGGCGACGGACACGTCGTCGTCCGCGTCGTCGTCGGAGCCTTTTGAGTGCAGTGCCGTTTTTAATGCATGCTCCGCGTGCAGATCATGTATTACACATGCAGGGATGTAGTACTAGAAACAGCGACGAGTTCATGCATAAATGCATTATACATGAATCATGTATTAAACGTCATACATCTTCAAAAGTCCAATGTATTGAAAACTGCCCTGCATTGCTGGCCCTCTCCGTGCGCCCGGTGGCCTCCTGGGAGCGTCCAGGGGCACGGGGCCTGCAGGCGGGAGCGCGCGCCGGCCCCCCTTCGGGGGCCTCGGGCGGCGCCCGGGGGGACCTCCCAAGGGGACCTCCGCGGGCCCAATCCGCCGAACCTCCCCGGACAGTGTTGTTTTTGCGTTGCTCGGGCGTTGCGCAGTGTGGTCCGAAAAGGCACCCAAACGGTACCTAAACGAGCCCCCTGGGGCTCTGGAAGGGCCCGAAAGGGGCACGAAAGGGGACCTTTTCTGACCCCCCCATTTGTGACCCCCCCCCATTAAGCCACGCCCAAGTTGCTCGGGAGCCTTGAGACGGGGGTCAATGCAAACGGAGGTCATCCAGGGCGCCAGATCCTGCAGGATCCTGCGAAGACCCCCTCTGGCTGACCCTGGTTAGCGAGCCGCTCGTGGCCGCGAGGCGGCCGCGCATGTTGGCTGACCTGGGTTTGCGAGGATCTGCGTTGCAGGTTTTGTCCCCTGCATTGCAGTTTTTGGTTTCCTGCTGACCCGGGTCTGTCGCGCGTGTCGTCGCGCGCGTATGCCGAAATCCTTCAAAACCCATCGGTTTCGGAAGGATTTCAACATCGTGTGTCCAACAAACCTACAAAAGCACAAGGTTTCGCAGCACGGACTTTCAACAAAAGCGTGCGCGCGCGCTCTTGCGGCGTCGTCGTCGTCGTCGTCGGACATGTGTGTTTTTGCGCCGCAGCGCGGCAGAGGCAGCCCGCACGCGCGTCTGTGCGAGGCTGGGGGACCCGCCGGCGCGAAGCCGCTCGCACGCGAGGGGGGGAGGGAGGAGTCGGCCCCCACGCGCAGAGGGGGGGCAGGCGGGGCGGGGAGGGCTCCGCGGAAGCGCCCCCTCCTCCTCCCTGGTGTCTTCATCCTCCTCCTCCTCATCCTCCTTCTCCTTCCTCGTTACTGCCTGCATCATCCTTCAACTCCTCCTCCTCCTCCTCCCTCAGCTCCTGCTCTTTCCTCCTCCTCCTCCTCGTTGTTTTCCCCTGCTTCTTAGAGGGCTCGGGGGTGGACAGACCTCCTACCCTGACACGTCGATCCAGGAATTGGCCGTTTTCGTTTCGCGAGAGGGCGACGCGGCCGTCATTTTTGCGGGTCCAGGTCCGTCGCTTTTCGGTCTTAGGCCGTTTTCACTAAGGGGAGGTCTACTAAAGAGAGGTTTGTCCACCGCCGAAGGGCGCGGGCCTTGTCTGTGAATGCGTGGCCGGCGCCTGCTGAGAAGCAGCCTCCCTCTGAGAAGCCTCCCCCCCTTGTCCCCCTGTGCGCGCCGCGGATTGAGCAGGGACCGACCGTCCCAGCATTCCTATAGGCCTACCACGAAGATGTCTCAGAACCAGAAGATGTTCCAATAACAAAAACAATGTTCTTTGAACATCAACCCGATGTGTTTAAACAAGACAGTCCCAGCCGGGAATGTTCTAAGAACATGTTGTACAAACCACAACAGGTTCTTAGAACATTGTTTGGATAGCCAAGAGGCCCGTCAGGACGCTTCGCTACTGCTTGAGCGGAGGGGAGTACCCCCAGACCTCCCCAGCAGTAGGAGAAGGTCTCCACGGAAGGCTTGGGCCTCCAGGGCCCGGGCGGCCCACGAGACCGTTTTCGGACGCAGCTCTTTTGGAAGGCTTGTACAATCGAGGCTCGGCGCTGGTGTTAATTCGGGCATGTCCTTGTACAGGAGGACGATTCAAATATAGTCAAACAAGAGTCTGGGGATGAGCTGTCGACTATTTTTGTCACGACTCTTGAATACTTTCGCAAAGGGGTATTTTTCATTTTTCGATCAAACTCCACCTGTAGGAGGACATGGCCGACCGAAAGTTCAATTCTGAATCGGCGCTGGGTGCGACCCACGGCGCTAGCTCGCTGGAGCTCCCCTTGGCGGCGCCTCCGGCGCCGCCCCTGGCGCGCTCCGCGCGCCAGGGAGGAGGGATCCGGCACTGCTCCGAGGCACCCGCGCGGTCCTCCAAGAGTTCGGGGCCTCGCAGAGACAAGGGGGCCGCAGGGGGGGGGGAGTTCGGTCCGTTGGCGCATCGAGCCGCAGAAAAACTATGCGAAACGAGGTCTTCGGCCGCCGCCGGAACGCGAGAGGCGTCGGCAAGCGGGGCGCGCGGGGGACGTCGTTTCTCGGAAATTCGAAGCACCAGCGGATCGAACTCATCCCCCCCTTCAGGGTCCCCCCTTTGGTGGACCTCCAAGAGTTTACGTTTATGCCACTGCTTGTCTCTCTGTGCAAGGTCCCTCGTGCCGTGGGGGGGGCTCCATGCCCAATATGAGGGCGGCAGGGATATGTCCGCGGGCACTCCACGAGTGGAGTTGCACCAGCTTCCAGACCTTCTGGATTCCTTGTCCAGCTGGTATCGTTTAACCAATCCCCATCCCCATCCCCATCCCCTTCGAGACACCCACAAAATTACCACCCCAGTAGGGGATACACCCCTCGAAGCCCGAAGGGAATGGCCTATATCCCCATCTAGGGGGGTAATCGGCCAGTGGGGCGCAGGCCACGCCGCTGGGGATAGGGATCGGTTAAACGATACTCACCCAGTGGCTCCTGATCCAACGCCCTCATCGTACCTCATTCTCAAGGGGAGCTCCAGCAGCGGAGGAGAATTCGAAGCAGCAGATGATGCATCAGGGCCGTGTGCTGCGCTTCCAGCTTTGAGCTCCGGCGCCCCTGCGCCCCCGCGGCGCTCTTCAAGGTCCGCGCTCCGGCGCGAGCTGCAGCGTCTCGCGTCTCGCGTCCCCATCCTCCTCCCTCTTGTTGGCGGCGCCCCCAGGGGCGGGACTGCAGAGGGGGGCTGGTCTTCTGAGCTCGGAAGGCCTCCGGCCTGCTGAGGAGCTCTCTGAGACATCTCCGGGACCACGCGTGTCGAGCGGCGGGAGGCTGAAGAGGCGAGAAGGCCCAGCAGTTCAGAAACACGCGCGGGCAATCAGTGACTCCTGCCTCTTGGGTGGCCTGGCCTCTGGGAGCCCTCTCGGGGCGCATGTACTTGAGGCCATCGTTGGCGTCTTTGCAGTCCAGGTCCAACGCAGATTTTTCCCGTTCCTCCTTGTCCCGCTGCTACCCTTAAGAAGCCGGGCGTGTCCCTCTACAGGAACAATATCCAAGAATAGTTTGAACAGTTATCAGGTAACGATTTTCGTGTTCTTCTTTGACTATGTCTGTTTTTCCCAAAATCCACCTGTAGAAGGACATGCCCGACCTAATGCTACCCCTTGCCCCCGCCCCAGCGCCCGCCGACCTTCGGATGGGCGGCCACAGGGTGCCCAGGCGTGCAAGAACGAACCCCAGACGGGCCAGTGCTGCGCACCGGAGAGCGGGGCGCAACGCCCTGTATACGTCCTCTGGTCCCGCCGGCGCTCAGAGATGCCTCATTTATCCTCGTCCGCACCTTCTTTCAAAGATGGGGTCCTGAGGGATGGGGTCCTAAGGACGAGGTGCCTCAAACAATGTCAATCCACACACATTTCGACGCTTCAAGCGGTTTTCTTGGATCTGCACTGGAGCGCCTTTGCGGCGCCCTCGGCGCCGCCCTTGGCGGGCTCCGCGCGCCAAGGAGGGGGGTCCGGGCGCAGATCCGAGAAATGCGCGCGGACCGTCGAGAGTTGATGCTCACTTCGTTTTATCTTGTTCTAATCCGCTGGTTTGTTGCATACGTTGTGCTGCTGCTCGCTATCGTTTCTTATTCATTGTTTTGCCGATCGGCGCGGGCCCCCCCTCGTCCCCCCTCCCCCCCCCCATGGAGTAGATCTTGGCTGTTTTTGGCCCTCCCCCTCCTCCTTCACCTTCTCCTCCTCCTCCTCCTCCTCCTCCTCCTCCTCCTCCTGCTCCTGCGCC